AGGATTGTTCATTGCACGTATTTCAATAAGCTGTTGTTTTGTGATACCTCTTACACTCTTTTTGGCATCCTCAATAGTCAATTCAATATTGGACAATCCATCCATTAAAAATATTCGACGTTCTTCAATTGCTTCAATTTGGACTTTGAGAGCAAGTGAAATTTCTTCTGAATCCCTTTTGCGCTTTTCAGCTTCGTTTTGATCTTCAATCAATTTCTTGAATAGAACATTAGCCTCATGGTCCTTTTCTTGAAGCTCATTACACTTTATTTTTATATCGTTACGAAGATTATTAATTGTAGTAATAAGTATTTTTAATTTATTTAATCCAATGTTTAAATGACGTTGCTGTTTCTCAAGTTTTTTACGTTTCTCACTGAATAATCGTACATAATGGGTGATAAAGTCCAAATAATGACACGGGGTTACATAATTATAACGACCTTGACGTTTGTTTAATTTTACATTAATTTCATAAAGGGACTTATGGACGAAATTGAATGCATTCATAACGGCAGAACGATATGAAAGCGGCAAAGGAAATTGTCTATACATAATAGGGAAATTGCTAGGAGCTGAATATGCTTGATGGTCCAAGTCCAAATTTTGGGTGAGTTCCATGCCTACTTGAAAGAGTGTTTGATCAGACCAATCGCCAAACCAATTTAAAGCACAACAATTGAAAAGAACGGGAAATTTTGCTACACGAGAAGCGAGACCATCTTCAGGAGGACTTATTGTAAATATAATATGTAAATTTTTTATTACTTGAAGTGTGAACCATTTATATAATTCTTCTGAAGAATCTATCATTAATCCATCCCTTTGGGAACCCTCTTTACAACTTGTTATTAAAGCATTATACTCATCACCTTCAAATAATCCAGGAACTTCAGCATTAACAAGGAGCGTATTCATACGCTCTAAAAAACTTGAACATGACATGTTTGATTCATTTATTATAAAACAAATTTTTTCCCCTTTACAACCAGTCCTTTTTAAGACTGTTCTTAAATCATTATCAAAATCATCTCTAGTATACTTGTTATGCGCATTAATTTGGAAAACACTTAATCCATTCATCCAAGCGACAAATCTAGACAAAGTAGTCTTGCCAGACCCACTTACACCAATTAAAAGTAAGTGCCCTTGCATTTGTTTAAATACATGATCAATGTGGAGAATATGATCCATGAAATCATCAAACAAAACTAATGAGGCGTCTAATTCTTTATTAAAGATTTTGAGACGAGCTTTAACATAATCATGTAAGTCTTCGTATTCAACAGAGATATAACTTTTGGATAGCCAGCTAGAGAATAAAATTGGACGACGCAAAGCTTCAGATTTGTTCAAGTTTGGAAAATGGTTTATAGCAATGTGATCAATTTTTTCGTCTACCCATTTCCTTTCCTCATCAGTGACAAGACGGTCTTGGAATAATCGCAAAGCTTCATGCGCCCAAATACGTATCAAACCTTCAACATTAAGAACTTTCATAGGTTTAATTGATTCGAATATACCTCTCATCCATTTAGTCAATTCACGGGTAGAGTAAATATAATGGGATTGAATATCTGGAGTAAACCGTTTTTTAATCATTAAATAAAATTCAACCATCGAAGCTGCCAATGGTTTAGCATATTCTTTAAGTGAAGGAGCAACTTTTAACATGGTACGAGTAAAGGTCCCATAAATCTGATCAAGTGAAATTTCATCAGGACAATCCATCATAATTAAAGGGGTATTACGAAGGTATCTGTGAGATAACGGCGCACGGTAAGGGTCAGTTGGAGGATTACAAATTCCAACAAATTGTATTCGTTCTAACTTAACCCATGCTTTATCTGACATTCTCCAATAACCACCACATTCAATCAATTGCCTCAAGAAAGAGATTACACTTTGAGTACCATACTGATCGGTTACAGAAAGATTGATTTCATTACAAATTATTACAAGTCTGTACCCAATGGCAATTGGTGACAAAATAACACCATTTGGAGTCTTATGATATTCACAATATTGATTGAATATTTCTAAAATCGATTTGGGTGTAGTAACGGTAGAAAAATTAAGACTGACGGCCTTCATATTTGGCAATTGTTTAATGGCACTAAATAAAATCAATTTTTTTCCAGATCCAGGTAGGCCACATAATAAAAGAGGTTTGTATTCTGAAAGCCAAGAGCATAATATGTCTTGGTAACGGATGGTATCAACTGTAGGAATGATCATTGATAAGTTAAAAGATTCAATTTTAATGGTTGGGACTTTGTCAGCCCATAATATCCATTCACCATTATTGATTTGAACATCATAATCAATTAAGATTGAACTCGTTGATACATGAGGTAAATCGACTAAAATGAAATTAAAATAATAAGGTATAAATGCATAAGAAAGCATAAAGAATTACAGAAGAGAAAATTCACGATGTTATTTACCTGAAGTTATTCCACAAACAAATTTGCATAACTCAACACGATTATCAAATTTAGCATCTCCAGAGAAGCTCCAAATAGCACAAAGAATTAGTCGTTTTGTCACATATTTCTCTAAATGTTCTGCTGTCATTGGAAAATTAGGATGTTGTATGTGATATTCAATTACATTACAAACAGTTTTGTTTAGTAATGAAAATAATGTATTAAGCACCCGCATATAAGTAAAGTCCATAACATGATCGAATTTTTCAGCTTGTATAAGAGTTCTTGTAACTAATCCATCTTTAGTCATATGCTTACTAAGAATGTTAGAGATTGCGTATTGTATGCTGAGATGCGATGAGACTGACTTTTCTCTACTCTCAACTTTACAAATAGAAGATACTTCTTCCTTGTCATCATCCAAAGGAATGTATTTTAATTTTTCCAAATAATTATAATATATCATTTCAAGAGTAACTACTTCCTACAAATTATAAAATGTGGATGAGGACATCTGAATATTATTTAATACCACTGTACTAATAATTACATACCGATGAGAACCACACAGTACCACAACGACTGACGGTAACTGATGGGACACGTTTTACATTTTCTAATTCAAACATAATGCGAACATTAGTTGGAAGATTTAAGCATTCACCATTAGGAAGGGTTAATAACCGTTTATCATCCAATATAGAATTTCTATTAATAATTCATAATTTATAAAGCAACCTAATGATCAATTATATAGACAATTATAAAATTTTTCGGATGATACATACAAATTTTCAACCCATTCTGGATCAATGTCGCCATCAAATATAATCCAATGTCTTTTGAAAATTTTGTCACAAACATGTTTAATAATATTACGCAAAATATGAGTGAATAAACCATCTTTCCATTCATTAGTTTTTTGATCTAAATTGCCATAAAGTGCATCTTTAGACATAGCTTTAGGATCAATAATGTAAGTAACATTTTTGCATCCTTCAACACGTTCTAAAGCTTGAAACAATACTTTCCATGCCATTGATTTTCCTAAAAATCAAGAAATAATAATGAATAAGAAGGAATTATTAAAGACATCATTACTCAACTTACCAGAACCGGATGGCCCAATCATCATAAGACCATGATGTATGACTTGGACTTGATAAAGTTGGAGAACTTTTTCTAACCATACTTTAGAATCAAGAAGGTGTCTCTCTTTACAAACTTTCTTGATTTCATTTGTAAGTCTATCAAGATCTACTTGTGTGTTTTTAACACTAGGAACAGTGAGCAAGCTGTAAATTCATTATAAATAGTTTTATTAATATTAATATTGAGGTTTAATTATCACGATTAATATGACCCACCTATTAGACATTGCTAGTGAAAGTTTTGATCATGTGATTAGCTTGATGTCAAAAAAATTAAAGTTTAGTTGGGTTTAGAAAGTAAAGTCTAAATTGTAAAAACTGAAAAATGTACGTACGTACGTATGTACATAAGGTTTTGAGATATGTTACACCTGCTACTTATATGCAGTACATTAGTACTGTACATAGCTTTCTTATAACGTGAATTTATGATTTGTTTAAAAGGATACAGTATTTTGATTCATAATTTTCTTAAGTTTTGATATCGTTCGCTACATTGCGCGTATTTGTCAAATTTAACTAATTGTCCTCAAATTTAAGGTTCAAATTTATTATTGATTCTCTACGTTTAAACCCTAGAAAAGATTTCTTATCTATAATAAACAATACGTCTAGCTCATTTACCCACTATTACAACTCATTTTAAATTTTTGTGCTATTCATATAACTTATTTAAATTTATCTTTATACACATACAACTTCAATAACTGTTAGTAACATTGACAGTTTTTATTAATAAAAATTTTAAAAATCATCTACAAGCATATCTTATTTAGGATCAGAATGATAACATGGGCGGCCGTCGATAGAAATAAAGCAAATCGACATTAGAAAAAAAATTAATGCAATGTGTGAACAACAATTTCCATACACCTATGTGTTAAATCGATGAATTTGGAAGGTTAGATTAGTAAAAATTAAACTTCCCGATTAAAACTCCGCGACATGGTGATCTACGACTGTTCACACCCTTTGAAAACGGCAATAAAAAATCATGTATCCAATACAATTTGAATTAATTAATAAAATACATCTACATGGCGTCCATATCTTTGGAAAAAATATATTATTGAAGATTGTTATTTCTATAGAATTTTAGTTGTAAAAGGTTTTTGATTATTAAAAAAAACGCAAAATTCATCTGGATTTTGCACTTGCGTAGTTTTTTTTTTTTTTTTGTGAAGATCAATATTATTTCTCAGTAAATAAAGTTAAAAGGCCATTTATTTATTTAGATATGAAAAAAGTTTAATCTACTATGTTTTTTTTTTAAAAAAGAATTTATTTTTTAAAGAGATAGTTCTATAATATCGCATTACAGATTTTATCCTAATTATGAATTGTTAATTTATACATTTATTTAAAATTTTCAACATAATATGTGATCTGTTTTTTTCTACTTTAAGCTCTAAAAAGTTGGTTTGTAAATTAAAATCGTGTTACAGTAGCAATAGCAAAATTATTAAAAATAATCTAATAAATTATTTTTAATGGCATTTAAAATTTTTTAAAATTTATATATTTTTAGAGAATTGCTATTTTCACCCCCAATTTTGCTAATGCCGCCCAAAATTTTAATAAAGTGCCCCGGAAGCGGATTTATTATTAAGAAACCCTTCTTTTGACCTTAATAAAACTTGTTCATCAGGTCTTTCTAGTTCTAATGGTAGTAAAATCATTATAATCGGACTGATAATTTTTTTTTTTTTTAAAAAAAAAAAAGTAAATAAAATTTAACTAACTTTGGAAATACAGTATATATCTTTGGAACTACTGGTCTAAGTTTAATGATTTTACTACTATGTACTTAGAACCAGAAAGGCCTGACGCAAAAGTTTATTAAGGCCAAAATAAGGGGTTTCTCAATAACAATACTTCTTCCGGAGCACTTTTTTAAATTTTGGGAATGGAATATTTTAACAAATAGCACCCCATTGGATGCGAAGCATTAATTAAAACTCGATAAAAAAAAATTAAAAATCATATTCAAATTTTGTTCCGATAATTGTTTTTAAAAAAAAGAGCATTTTTCGTAATGAAAACTCATAGGCAGACATTCGTATGATTGGCTGTTTAAATCAATTTAATTTTACATTATTTATACAGTTTAAAGTACTTT